GCGTGTGCCACCAACGCACGGCTACTCTTACCTTTTCTTAACAACAGAAATGGCAAATGAGTGTTTTAAGTTGTAGGAGCACGGTTTAGGACAGCTTATTAATTTTTTTCAGCAAATAGAAATTTTATAATACCTACCATGTATTTTAGCATTTGGAGATAAAAGTAAAATAAATGAACATAAATGACTTTTGCTTTTCCTCATGAAAATTATCTTTACAGTGAGGAGGCAAGTCATATCTTTGTAATTATTAATTCAATGCTCCCTTTAAAAAAAAAGTAGTAACTGTATTTTCTCTACCTCTTGAAAATTATTTGGTTCTTCTTTCCTGCTTTGATAGGTTTTCATCTTGTCAGGGTTTCCCATATCTGTTTTTAGTGAACATCTTTGTTTTCCCAAATGCTTCTTGGGCCTTCCTGCCTGGAACCCTGAAATTTAAAGCTGAAACCAGTTTCTCATGCAGAAGTGACATACTGGGCTACCTCATTTCAGGGAAACAAAGTTCTGTAAACTGATCACCTCTTCAGAATCAGGCTTTTGATTTCTTATTCAATCTATGTACCCAACCAGAATAAGTATCCTTGCACAAACACTACTAGATTTTATTTTCATTAGTAAAATGGCTGATGTACATTTTCATTATAACCGCCCAGGAGTCAGATTTTCAAAGTTCTGCAGGCTAGAGGGACATTTATTAATGTTTCTGTTTACTAAACTGTTAAGGAGCCACTGACTGAAGTACAGGAAAGTTATTTGATTACTGTCATACTATGTTCCTAGAAATTTTAAAGTTGGTTTCCATTAGTCTTGTTATGAACAACAACAACAACAACAAATCTAGCAATTCGGAGTTTTGAATTTCATGTTAGAGAAATTTTGTTTTTCCCCTCAAAGCCATCTCTGAAACAGTTTTTGGAACAAAATACTGGGTTGAAAACATTCTGTGTCATTTATTGTTTCATTGGATGCTAATAGATTTTAAATACAGATTTTATTCAAGGTACTCAATAATTTCATCCTTAATGTTGCAGAGGAATCCTGCAATTTGAAAACGTGTCTTATGGAATCGAGCCCCTCGAATCTACAATTCCATTACAGCACATTATTTATAAATTAGGGGATGTAGAGAATGATTTAACAGTTTTTAATAAAAATAGTAGAAACATAGAGATGCCGACGGACTACAGTGTTTTTATCAATGAAAAGGTGAGTTTTGTATACTTTATCATTTTCAAAGCACTTGAAATGTTCTAATTGATTTTTAAAAAAGTGTGTGAGAGACTGTTGTACGGCTGCAGTAAGGTAATTATTTATGGATAGTACTGTCTCTTACTGTCCTGCAATTGCCCTGAAGCCAGGCATGAGCTCGTCCTATCACTTTCTTTGTATTGCTCACTTTATTTTAGTTTTGTTTTTTGCTTTGCTTTGGCTTTTGTTTGTTATGTTCTTATTAGTATGAACAAACATAGCTGAAAAGAAGCAATGTCTACAGAGAATGATGGGCTGATTAGAAAGATAGCCCCACTGTTGAGAGACTGGTCCAAAGGCCACTTACCTTATCATAGGCTGGGGCTAGCCTTGGGAGCAGCCATTCCTTGTCCACCTCCATGCCAGAGTTAGCATCATTTATTCCTATATTCCAAATGGTTGGTCTTTTGATGGTATCAAATAATCCCTTCATGTTCCTTTTCTTTTTTCTTTTCTTTTTAAATTTTCAACTTATCACTTTACTGAATAATTTAAAAGATCATTTTCTATAGTCACAGAATTGCTAGTTACAGAAACTGGTCAATTCCATGAATAGTCCTTGATCATAATCTTTCTATTGCATACATCCTTTGGAGAGACTGAATTGTGAAAGTAGAGATGACATAGTAAATGCCTACGTATTTCTTAGTTCCATTTTCCCATCCTTTTACCTCAAGGTGATGTCGGTCATTGATCAGGAGGTGTGTTTCTTAGAAGAAGCAGAAAAAAGTTCCCATTTTCTAATCAATATGTTAGTCTGTGCCTTTTTATTGTGGAAATTAAGACCATTAGTATTAATTACTGTCACTTTGTTGATCTTTTGGTTACCTGTCCTGGCATTGTTTATTTGTTACAACCTCTCAAGTGTGTTTATTCTTCTCTTCAGATTGATGTATCCCTTCTAGTACCCTCTGTAGAGCTGGTTCAGTAGTCATACATTCCTTTAATCTGTTTTTTTTTTTATAATAGAAAGTTTTTATTCAGCTTTATCTTAATGGATAGTTTTGTTGGGTATAATAGCCTGAGTTATCAGTTGTGATGGTTTAGAACTTGGGATGTATCATTGTGGCTTCAAAGTTTTTTTTTTTAACACTTTTTATTTGAATTAGAAACAAAATTGATTTACATGAAAATCCCAGTTCCCTTCTCCCTCCCTTCCTCCCCTAGAACCCCCCAACTAAAACCCTATCACATACCCTTTCTTCTATTCTTCACCTGACTCAAACTTTGTGCTCCCCCATGACCTCTGCCTCCTTCCTCTTCTTCCCTTCTCATTCTCGTAGCTTCCTCCCCCGTCTTTCCATGCTCTCAATTTGCTCAGGGGATCGTGACCTTTTCCCCTTCTCCAGGGGACAAAGTTTGTCTCTTTTAGGGTCCTCCTTGTTTACTAGTTTCTCTGGCAGCGTGGATTGTAGGCTGGTAATCCTTTACCCTGTCTAAAATCCACATATGAGTGAGTACATATCATGTTTATCTTTTTGTGATTGGGTTACTTCACTCAGAATGGTTTCTTCGAGTTCCATCCATTTTCCTGCAAATTTCAAGATTCCATTGTATGTGTGTGTGTGGTTTTTTTTTTTTTCCCGCTGAGTAGTACTCCATTGTGGAAATATACCACAATTTCTCTATCCATTCTTTGGTTGAGGGGCATCTGGGCTGCTTCCAGTTTCTGGCTATTACAAATAATGCTGCTATGAATATCGTTGAGCAGATGTCCTTGTTGTATGAATGTGCTTCTTTTGGGTATATGCCTAAGAGTGGAATTGCTGGATCTTGTGGTAGACTGATTCCCATTTTCTTGATGAGTCACCATACTGATTTTCAAAGTGGCTGTACAAGTTGGCACTCCCACCAGCAGTGGAGAAGTGTTCCCCTTTCTCCACATCCTCTCCAGCATAAACTGTCATTGATATTTTTGATTTTAGCCATTCTGACAGGAGTAAGATGGTATTTCAGAGTTGTTTTGATTTGCATTTCCCTGATGGCTAAGGATGTTGAATACTTTCTTCTGTGTCTTTAAGCCATTTTAGATTCCTCTATTGAGAATTGTCCATTTAGTTCTGTACCCCATTTTTTATTGGGATTGTTTGGTGTTTTGGAGAATAGCTTCTTGAGTTCTTTGTATATTTTGGCGATCAGCCCTCTGTCAGATGTGGGGTTGGTGAATATCTTTTCCCAGTCTGTGGGCTACCATTTTGTCTTGCTGACTGTGGCCTTTGCCTTACAGAAGCCTCTCAGTGTCAAGAGGTCCCATTTATTAATTGTTGATCTCAGTGTCTGTGCTACTGGTGTTATGGTTGAACACTTTCTTATGTGTCTTTCAGCCATTTTAGATTCCTCTATTGAGAATTGTCTATTTAGTTCTGTACCCCACTTTTTAATTGGATTGTTTGGTGTTTTGGAGACTAGCTTCTTGAGTTCTTTGTGTTTTTGTTTTTTTAATCAATTATCAGGTGCTATTCTGATTGGCCTGCCTTCATAAGTGAGTTTACCTTTCAACATCCTATCTTTACTTTGTGTTTAAAAAGATTTGACTATAATATATTAAGGAGAATTTCTTTGTTGGTCTTGTTGAGTTGATGTTTTGCAGGCCTCTTATACGTGGATGAAACTTCTTGCTATGAATTTAATGAATATATTTTTCATGTCTTCACTATGCATTAGTTTTCCTTCTTCCATTAAAACTTTTACTGAGTCACTCAGTTCTACTTTGTCTGTCATCCATGACTCTGTCTTTGACATGGTACATTCTGTTAGTGAGGCTTTCCAGTGAGATTTCTAATCAGCTTATTGAGGTTCTCGTTTCAGTTTGGGTTTTCTTAAAAAAAAAAAAGAGATCTATTTGAATGTCTTGTATTGATAGCCTTATTTCATCTATCTTTGTCTTTGGAGAGTTACTTGACCACAGTTGTAACCATTCTTGTGAATTCTTTGAGATTTCTTCCAGGTCATTTCCATTCAGTGCCATTACTATGAGATTTATACTTTTTGAGGAAACATGTTATTTTTGTATAGTTATTATCTCTGCATTGGTATTTGGGCATCGAGTTGGTTTGTTGGTTCACGTTTTTTTTTTTTTCTTTTTTTTTTTTTGCTCAAAGGTTGTTTTCATAATGTCTTAACTCTTCCATATTTCATTCATATATATTACAAATTTCACTTTTATTCAACTCACCTTTATTCTTTTAGTAGAGGTGTTTATGGTGCTTAGGAGGAGGCTAACTTATAACAGATTTGGGATGGACATTTCCTGTTTGTTTGGCATTTAGGGATAAAGCCTCTATCCAAGATCTTCTACTTGTTGCCGACATTCTGGTACCTGCAGTGCCTTGGTCTAGGAGCTTGGGATAAGTTTCCCTGGCACCATGGGTTAGTCTGGGTCTCAAGGTCCCAGTCAGACATCTAGTAGAACACTAGGGAATGTCTAAGGGAGGAAGTGGGGCTAGAAGGATGTGATGCTCCCTGGCAAGCAGCCACAGGGCTTTGGAATGACCAGAATCATGAGAGGCTGGGAATGAGGGATATATGTAGCTTACATCAATCTAGGGGCCTTGTGGGGCAGCTGGTGAGTCCCTGCATGCAAAGAGGCTGAGATATGGTCAGTTCAAAAAGGAGGGAAAGAGGCTGAGAGCTCTTGTGGTTTCTTGAGATGGACTGTGTTTGGGTATGTCCATAGTGTTTATTCAGGTTATTTATGACTGCTTCTTGGATTTCACTCTTGCATACTGCACCAAGGTTTGCCAGGGCAGAAAGCTTAATATCTTTTTGAGGTCTTTCACAGCTTGTGTCTAGTTTATATTTTCCAGTATGTATTCCTGGGATTTTTCAAAGCCTTTCCCCACTCACCCTACACCCTCTTTTTCAGCCTCTTTACCACCGTGCATGGTGTTTCATTCCAATTTTAGTATATGAGGAGTTCACAAGTTGGAAGATGTGGATTAATTGGATGACTTCATAACCACTATTCTTATTTCTAGATCCCATGCTATAGCACTACATGTTAGCTTCCCTAGTTAGTACTGCTGTGAGTGCTGCCCTAATAGCTTTAATAAAGAACTCCAAGTAAATGCATTATGAAAATATAAACTTTTGTGTGCTTTTGTTCCTTTCCAGTCAGAATCACCTTTAAAACTGTCGTTTCCTCTCTATCTAGAGATGAGTATTGTGGTGGACAAAGCCTTGGTATGTGCTTTGATTTTTCTTTTGTGTATTTGGTGTGGAACTGGAGAGTTGACTCAGCAGTTAAGAGCCACTTGTTCCTCTTCCCAAGGACCCAGGTTTGAATCCTAGCACTCACATGATGACTCACAACTATCCATAATTCTAATCCCAGAGGATCCAATGTCCTAGTCTGGCCTGAGGTCACAAGGCATGCATGTGGTGTACTTATACATGTAAAATAATGCATAAACCTAAACAACACTTAAAAAAAGAGCTGCAAAATGTTGACACACTTTGGTGTCAGTCCTTAAATATTTTGTGTAAATGTGTGATACCCCTGGCTAGAGGCAACTAGATATTCCCCTCATAGACAGTACAGGGTAACAATTTGCTAACTGAAAACCAAATAGGTGAGATCATCCAATAGGAGACAGTTCTGGCAAGTAGAGCAAGAGGATGGCCATGAAGCCAGAGAGTGGCCAGCCCTATAATGCTTTGCTGGCAGCAGTGGCTAGCACACCTGCACATGCTGTAAGACACAGTTGTTGGGTGCTGCTTCTGTCTTATGCCATTGCTTCCCAAGAAGAAGATGTCTCTAGACCCTTGACTTCTATCAACAAGTCATAATGGCTTTTTAGATATATGTATCTTCCAGGCTTTAATTGTACTAAAATAGTATTTTAACTATGAAATCATTTCTGTCTTCTAGTATGATTACTTGGGCTCTGACAGCATGATTGTAACAAATAAAATCATTGAAACTATCAGTCTTATAAATTCAGTAAGTATTTTCCTTTCTATACTAAAATTTGTGACTTTTGAAATTACCATTTGTACTAGCTTGATGTGGAGTTTCTGAGTAACTAAGTCATTCCTATAAAAAGAATGTAGATTTGTGAAAATATCAAAATATTTCTAGGGTAGGGCATTTAGGAAATAAGACAGATTAATTTTGTGTTATATTTATTTCTTCGGTTTTCAGGTGTTTTCCCAACTTAAGGTTACTATTGTGTTGTCCTCGTTGGAGTTGTGGTCAGATAAAAATAGGATACCTACAGTTGGTGAAGCAGATGAATTACTACGTCAATTTTTAGAATGGAAGCAATCTTATCTTACCCTAAGGCCTCATGATGTTGCATATTTATTCATGTAAGCCTATTTAATATTCTATAAAGAAAACAAAAGACTTGCCACATAGCTTAATTCAGGGAGCTGTTACTCATTTCTGATTACTCAGGTACTTTATTCAAGGCTTACACTTTCTGACTGCCAGGCAATGAAATAGATGTATAACACTTGTTTTTAAGCTTATTAATCCTTTATAAAACAATAGACTGAAATTGAGAAAGCTTCATCCATTTTATTATTTTTTTTATTAGTTCAAATTAGGAACAAGCTTGTTTCACATGTCAATCCTTTCTCCCTCTCCCTCCGCTTCCCCCAGCCCTCCCCACAACCCCCTACCTGCCCCCCACACCATCCACCCTCCACTCTCCAGGCAGGGTAGGGCCCTCGACAGGGGCTCCCCAAAGTCCACCACATCAGCCTGGGCCAGGCCTAGGCCCTCCCCGATGTGTCCAGGACGAGAGTGCATCCCTTCACGTGGGATGGGCTCTCAAAGTCCCTTCTTATACCAGGGAAAAATACTAATCCACTACCAGGGGCCCCCTAGAGTGTGGAGGTTTCCTAATTGCCATCCATGTTCAGGGGTCTGCATCAGTCCTCTGCTGGCCTCCCAGACAGCAGTCTGGGGTCCATGTGCTCCCTCTTGTTCAGGCCAGCTGTTTCTGTGGGTTTCATGACTCTTAAGGTCAGTAGTTGAGTAAGAGCTTGCCCTCTGTCATGGTAGAGCCTACCCTTAAACACTAAGAAAGATCCAGGGCTCATTGAGTGAAGTTTATATGTTGATTATGCTGTTGGCAAAGGCTCGGTGTGAAATTGTTTATAAGTACTTGCATGAATGGATTGTCTGCACTATTTTAAATTGTTAGTTTAAAGATAATAAATGGTAGCTATGCATTTGTAGTTGCATTCATAATAGAATTGCTGGCAATATACAACAGGTCTTTATATGTATGTATTTATCTCTAAATATATGCAACATGATTAATTTTGATAGCATAAAGAGGGATACAGCCTGATTTTCTGTCACATGGATAGACCATCACTTTGTCACAGAATTTTCCCTGTAAACACCTTTTAGAGTTTTTACAGGGCTTTAAGCAATTTGATTGTTCCATTTGGGACGGTCTGATGCCTTTAGTGTTGTACATATTTTTATTATATGGAGCATTCCAGATAATGAGTGTGGTTATATCCCACCAGTTTTCAAACTATTCTAGTCTCCAGGAAAACTTTTAGAGTTTTTTTTTTTTTTTTTTCTGGAGCTCTTCCAGATAACTTTGGTATTTATTTCTAGGTCTTTTATTATTTTTTGCCAATGTTAATATATTTTAATGCTCTACTATATTTTGTAGAGCAGTAATGCAGTTAATTTTCTGTAAGCACTGTCTTAGTCATGTTCTTTTGCTGTGAAGAGGCACCATGACCAAGGCAACTCTTAGAAAAGAATTTAATTGGGGGCTTACAGTTTCAGAGGTTTAGTCCATCTTCATCAATCATAACAGGGAATGTGGCAGCATGCCAACATACATGGTACTGGACATTCTGACCTGAAGGCAGCAGGAAGGAAAGACAGACAGACAGACAGACAGACAGACAGACAGCACTATTGGGCTTTCTGAAACCCGAAACCCACTCCCAGTGACACACTTCCTCCAATAAGGCTGCACCAACTCCAACAAGGCCCCACCTCCTAATCCTTCTAATCCTTTCACATAGTTCAACATCCTGGTGACTAAACAGTTAAATATAGGAAGCTATGAGAGGTCATTCTTATTTAAATCACCACAATAACAAATTAGCTTTTGTTATCTTTTTGAAAGATTTTTTGAAATTATAAATATAATTACCTAAATTCATCTTTTAAATGCACATACTTTTTTTTTATTTTGTTTTACAAGTTTTCTTCTTACAGATACAGACATAGGGGATGGTTTCCAGGCACTCCCTCATCACACCCTTTCTGCTCTATTACTATTGTTGATATTTTGCATTTTAGGTGGTACTTTTATAATTTACGAAGCAATATTGGTACATTACTATTAACTGAAGTTCATGGCTTACATTAGAGTTTGTTTTCTGTGTTGTATGAACTCATTATTACCATTTAGTAAATTAATAATGATGTTAAAATGTTCTAATAATTTTTCCACACTCATTTATTGACTTTGTGTGTGTGTGTGTGTGTGTGTGTGTGTGTGTGTGTGTGTCTGTGTGTCTGTGTGTCTGTGTGTGTCTGTGTGAGTGGATGTGTGTTCATGTACAGGTGCATGTATGCCACAGGGTGCATGAGGAGGTCAGAGGTCAGTTCTCCCTTCTATCATTTGGACTCCTGGTACAAAGCTCAGGTGGTCAGGCTGTGAAGTCAACACCTTTATCCACTGATGTATAAAATCATGTCATCTGAAAGTTACAAGTTTCATTTTTTTTGGCTGTCTGATTGTGTTCCTAAGGCTACTAAGAGTGTAGTGAGCAGGAGTGATGGTAATATTTTGGTGTCATCTCTGATCTGAAAGGAAAAATATTGTGTGTTTTGTAATCAAGGGCATTTCATCCAGTTTAGTAGAGGGTCTTCCAAATTTCCAGCAGTTAGGGACACATTTGACCACTGAGTCTCAACTTGCTTATGAGTAGGATTTTTCTGAATTTGGGCTTTACATTTTCAAGAATTCAAATGGCTAGGTTGTTTATTGGGATTAATTACAAACCTGTGTTTATGTATTTAGTTATAACGAATACCCAAATTATGTGGGAGCCACGTATCCTGGAAAGATGTGTGCCTCCAGCTACTCTGCAGGAATCACAATGGTAAGTTCTTATTCGGTCCTTAAAAAGGGTACAAGATGTAGTCACTGAAGTGATGGAGGGAGTGACCATTGTAACAAAGTCTTTCAAAGAATGAGGCTTTTTACACTTTATTTATATTTAACTTTTGGAAAGCCATGATAGTCTTGAAGATTAAGAAGGTAGAGATACATACATATTTTATATAAAAGTTTATAATCCCTTTGTAATTAAGACAGAAATAAATATAGAAATAAACAAAGCAATGGAAGAGAATAGAGTTGAAAAGTGGAAAATGAACAGAGCTCAACATTTACTGGATGCTTGTATTAGTATCTTTTCTAAGAGGAACTCCAGGTTTTCACCCACCCATGAATCATGTTCATTATTGTGATGTGTGGTGTTTGCTACAAAAATAAAAGGGTTTTAACTTGGAAAAGTCCTTTTATCATTCAGTGATGTCTTCTCTTTTGGAACCCCCTTGTTGCTTTAGTACCCCAAGGGCATGACTTTGGAGGCCTTTTCAATTGTTGTCACCCAGATGCTGGGGCTCAGTCTGGGAATATCATATGATGACCCGACAAAATGCAACTGCTCGGAAGCCGTCTGCGTCATGAATCCAAGAGCTATGTAAGCTTTCTGAAAAGGTTTATTTGTTGCTTATGCTTATTTTGTGTTAAGGGTAGTATTTCCTTATAGTAAAAATGAGCTATAAGGAGAATAAAGCTCATGACAAAATATATGCCTGCAAGATAATTATAAGAGCAGAAGGATGTGAGGAATACTTTAAGAAATTCTAGCCAAGGCAGACAAATTCAATGTGCAATATATAGGTAAGGGAATGTTCCTTAGATACGTGTTTGTGAAAGTCCCTAGGAAGGACCCTTTAAATATCTTGGAAGACCACAACACATGGGCATTTGTTTTAAAGGAAACTTTACAAAAAGCAAAACAAAATGAAACAGACTACCAGCAAGGGGTGTGATGGAGACATCCCATTTAGGACCAAGTGCTCCAAAGTCTCTCAGTCTCTGCACATTGTCCAGTTGTGGTGTAGTTCTCCGTTACTGCAAAAGACTTCTCTGATGTGGGCTGATGGAGGAAGTGGAATTATGGGCGTAACAGTATGGGTAGAAACAGTTCTATGTGTTTCCACGGTAGAACTCTTTCACTTTGGTCGGGTTTATTGTTAGTTGTTTTTTTGTTTGTTTGTTGTTTTGAAACTGTTGCCAATCTGATCTTTTTCTAATTTTTTTCTCTCAAAAAATTCAACACACACACACACACACACACACACACACACACACACAAATGATTTTGGATCTTGCAATTTTATTGAAAGTGTTTATTAGATCTAAATGTTTTTTGATGGGGTCTGTGGGGTCATCTGTAAAGAGAGAGAGTTTGACATTTTCCTAGTTTCGTTCCATTTTTTTCTCTTTTAAAAAGGTATTTTATTTTAAACGGTGTGCATGTGTGTACCTGTGGAGGTCAGAGAGGTTGGATCTCCTTGGAGCTGGATCACACACAGTTGAAAGCCACCTTATGTGGGTTCTGGGAACATAACTTGGGTTGTCATGCCCTCGTAACTGCAGAGCCATTCCTCCAGCCCCCTCTTTATCTTTTTGTTTTTGAGACATGATCCCACTATGTAACCCTGGCTGTCCTGGAATTCACTATGTAGACCAGGTTAGTTTCAAATTGACAGGACTCTACCTGCTTCTGCCTCCTGAGTGCTGTGATTAAGGGCATGTGCTACCACACCCTGCTATTTCTTCTTGTTGCTCTAGTTGAAACTTGAAACACTATACTGAATAAAAGCAGAAAGTGTGGGAACACTTGTTCTGGATCTGACAGGAAAAGACCTCAATATTTTCCCATTGAGAATAACGTTGGTCATAGGTTTGCCTTACATATCTTATGTTGAGGTATGTCCCAACTGTTACTAGTTTCTTCAAGACTTTTATCATAAAGATGTATTGAACTTCACCAAATGACACTTTTGCATCTTTTGCAATGAACTTGTGATTGCCGTCCACAATTCTGCATATAAATTTATTGATATGTGTATGTTGAATCAACCTTGCATTCCTGGGATGAAACCAATGTAATTGTGACCTATTTATTGTCATCTTAATACGGTCTTAAATTCAGTTTGCAAGTATTTTTTTGATAAAATTTGCATCTCTGTTCATCAGAGAAATTGCTCTGTTGTTGTATTGCCATGCCATTTGGGTCGGGGGTAAGGTTGGCTTCATAGAGTGAGTATGGAAATGTTTCTTCTCTTTCTGTTTTGTGGAACAGTTGGAAAAGTCTTGGTATTACAGAGTTTATCAGGTCCTGGGATTTTGTTTATTGGGAGACTTACTCTCATTTTTGGTTACAGGCTTATCTAAGTTGTTTACATCTTTTGGCTTTCATTTTGGTAGATCAGACACATTTAGAAGTTTTTCTATTTCTTCTAGATTTTCCCTAATGATCTTCTGATTTCATTGGAGTCTGTTTTCATATTCTCTTTTGGTCTCTAATTTTATTAACTTGATTCCTCTTTTTCAGTTGGTTAGTTTGAATAGAGGCTTGCTTATCTTGTTAATAGTTTCAAAGAACCAGCTCTCTGTTTCATTGCTTTTTAATTTTAATTTAGTATTATTTTAGTCTGAATTTGTTTAAATTCTTCCTTGAGCTTTACTACCTTTGATTCCTATTACATTTGTATTTGGCTTCTTATTTTGCTAGAACATTTAAGACACACTATGAAGTTACCTGAGATCTCTTATTATTTTTAATGTAAGCGCTTATCACTTACATGAGCAGTCCTTTGAGGTTGTATTCCAGGGTTCTCATGGATTATGCTGTCATTGTCATTTGACTCCAGAAATTTTGCAGTTTCCTCCCTGACTTACTTATTGTCACCCCATTCATTCAAAAATATATATTATTCAGTCTCCAAGTATTTGTGTAGAATCTGGGGTTAGGCTTGCTGTTGATGTCTATCTGGCCTAGTATGACACAGCAAATTATGTCAACACTTTTGAATTTGTTAAGGATTGCATTGTAGCCTATAATGTGACCAGCCCTTCAGGAAATTTCTGTGTTCTACTGAGGAGAATGTGTATTGCTCATATGTTGGGTGGAATATTCTTTATCTGTTTAATCTATGCTTTAGTTTAGCTATAATTTATGCTATAATTTGATTTTGTTGCTTTTGTCAGACCCATCTAGAAAAGACAGTGCAATGTTGAAATCTCTCCCATCACTGTGTCAGGATGAATATATTCTTTTATTCCTTTTAGTATTTATTTTATGAAATTGGGTAGTCCAAGGTTTGACACATGGCTTGCAATAATTATAGTTTTGATGACTTGGCCCTCTATTAATGGCCCTCTTTATTTCCTATGATATATAATGTAATATCTATAATATATAAATAATAGCCCATTGTTTTCAGCCTTTATTTCAGTTTATGGGTGTCTTTGTTATATTGGTTTCTTGGGGAAAATGGATAGTTGTCTTTACTGTAGTTTGTTCATCTGCATCTTTCAATGGGTGAGTCAAGGTTATTTGCATTTAAGGTTCTTATTGAGCGGGATTTGTTGTTACTATTGATTTTCTTGGATACTGTTCTGATTGCTTGGTTTATTAGTGGATATTTTAGCCTATTCTGGTATTTTTAGAGGTTTGCTGGTTGGACATAATTGATTTCTTTCTGGATCTCCTCTATCTTTTCCTTTTGCCAAATCTATCTATCCATGTGTTCTGATGGATGAAACTGTCTTTCTTCTTCCTCTGTGTATGGCTGGAAACTGGGCACGACTTCTTTTGAGTAGTGTCTAATCAAGTCCTTTATCTATTATAAAATCATGCCTTTTACTATTGATTTGTACTTAATTATTTTAAAGTAACAAAATGTATTATGGTGAATAAAATCACATGACCTCCTCAAGAATAATTGTGAACACTTATTGGTAGTATTTTCTATCACCTATTAAACAATATAATATCATGAAGCTAATGTAAGATATGGACTTATGCTTTGGGATGTATACTGCTAATGACAGAATATGAATTCATTTTTAGGCAATCTCCAGGTACGAAGGTGTTTAGCAATTGTAGCTTGAATGACTTTGAACATTTTAAATCTAATGTGGGTGCCAAATGCCTTCAGAATAAGCCACAAATGCAAAATAGCCCAAGAGCCATCTGTGGAAATGGAAAAGTGGAGGGAAATGAAGTCTGTGACTGTGGCTCTCAACAAGTGAGTATGTTACCTAGGGAAATTTACAACAAACTCACCGTTTTAACTCTTCTTGGTCAGAAATGTTGTATTTCTAAATCACACTGGGTACCATGCAGAGCAGTGCTGTAAACAAATTTTATAACTGTATGTTTGGCTTTAAACTGTTTATCAGTTCAACACATAATTTTTAGGACATAGCTTTCCCATAGGATTAGTAATATGATGAGGGAACCTGTGAACTGAACTTGAGGTAATTTTGATCATTTGTGTGGCAGGAAAGTCCTGAAAATAAAGTGAATGCAGACAGTCCAGAGCATAGTGCCTCTGGGGAATGCAGTATCTATAGTGATAATGCAAATGACCTCAATTACAACATAGACACAGTAGCACTTTTCATATACATGGGCATGAATCACTGGTTCCCATATCCCATTAAAAAAGAGATTATTACTATCTTGTAGAACAAGGCCTCTTTCTTTACTCTTAAATTACTCTTAAAAGTTTTCTTTTTTAAATCAATTTTATGTTTGTGTGTGTGCTCTCTATGAAATAAAGGGGACCAATTACACAGATGGGGCGATGAGCTTGGCAAAGGTAAGTGACTATGGCTACCATCAAATATAGACCCTGACCATCATTTCTGAGACTCTTGGGTTTTCCTGGAGATGTGTTCATCTCCAGGCAGCCTGAAGCAAGTCCTGTCAGATCGCCCAGCTGAGCTGGTTGGTGCCTTATTTGCTGCTTCTTTCGCTGCCTCCCTCCTCTCCTTCCCTCTCTTCTCTCCCTCCCTTCTTCCCTCCTTCCTTTCTTCTCTCTCTCTTCCCATGTAGGATTTATGATATTTTTCCCCATTGTGTCATACCACATGCTTTTCATCTTTAGTTTGCATATCTCCTCTTACCTACAAAACCACTGACTATAACACATGAGTTTATACCTGGCTTAGCATTCTGCTCTGCCACTGCTCTCCACAGCTCACTTTGTTAGTGCCTCATCATCTTGGTGTTATAACTCATTGGTTTATTTGGTACTCAGGTTGGATGGTGCCTTCTTTCTGCTTCATTCTTTCTGTTTAGAATTTCTTTGGCTTATATGGTCTTCTGTGGTACTATAGATCAGATTTATTTTTCTACTTCTCTGAAGAATGTCATTGTTGATTTGGTAGGAGTAGTGTCGATGCTTTTCATCAGTTTGATTAGTGTGAGCATTTTTATCCAATTCTTCTAGCTTATGAAAGGTAGGCTGCCTTTTTTTGTGTGCCTTAATCACTTTCCTGATTAGATTTATTCCTGTGTATTTTTTTTTGTAGGATTGTGAAGGAGATTGCTTTTGTGAGTTCTTCTATAGGTGTCTTGTCATTTGTATATGAAAAAGCCAATGAATGAAGTTATATTGTTTGCAGATTGTATGTGACTGGAGATTATCATATTAGATGAATTAAGCTAGTCTCAGAAAGACAAATACAATGCATCTTCTCTCATATGTAGTTCTTAGATTCCGTATATGTACATAACCATTTTTGTAAATGTGGCATGAAAGGAAAAGTAAAACTAGGGAACAAAGGGGACTAGTGGGAGAAGGGAAGAGTGAGGAAGGGGAAGGTAGGTGAATATGGAGGGAAATATGTTCACTGTACAATATATATATCTGTGAAAATGTCCTATGTAACCTAGCAATATATACAATGAATATATGCAATCACAAAAATTTAAACATGTTAAAAAGTACTCAATTTTGTATTTGCATATTTATTTAGTATTAGTTGTTTTTTTTTTGTGGAGTTATTTTGCTTCTTTTCCTAAATGTCTAATCATGTTTTTGCATTGCAAAAATATGTATTTTGATTTTTTTCCTTTCCTGTTTGGAAGCTCTTAGTGTGTCTCTTGCCTTATTATTCTAAGACTTCAAATCTGTGTTGAATCAAAATGATGGAGTAGGTAGTCTTCTCATACCATAGTCCTAGAGGCATGCCTCAGGGTTTTCCTCTGCAGTGTGACTGAGGCTTTAGCTTTTTATTTTTTATTTTATTTTTTTTATTTTATTAGTTCTAGTTAGGGAACAAGCTTATTTCAAGTCCCTTCTCCCTCAGTTTTTTATTTTTGAGGTACATGTTTTTCCTATATTTAATTGTTGGTTGATTTTTTTTTATTATTGAGTGATGTTGAATTTTTGTTGGGATCCCCATTGAATCTGTAGCTGCCTTTGGAAGATGGTCATGTTCACAATATTAATTATACAGATACATGAATATGGGAGATATTTCTGTTTTCTGTCTTCCTCAATATCTTTCTTCAGAGATTTGAAAGTTTTCATTGTAGAGATCTTTCATATGCTTGGTTAGTTTTATCACAAGATCTTTTATTATCGTTGAGGCTATTGTAAACAGGAGCGTGGCCATGATCTCTTTCTGAGATTATTGTAAATGATTTCAAACCTATTCCTCATTTTCTCTTTTATCAGATTCAGGGTATCTGGTCTTATGTTGAGATCATTGACCCATTTGGAGTTGAGTTTTGTGTAGACAATATATATAAATCTATGAATGATATGTATAATTATTCTCAATCAGCTCTCTAGTTTGACCAGCACTATTTGCTGAAGATGTCTTTTCTCATATATATATATATATAGGTGTCAAGGTGTTTGGACATATGTCTGGATCTTCAGTAGATTCCACTAATCAACATGTCCATTTTTATACCAGTAACATGTTGTTTGTAATCACTGTATGTGTATAATATGAATTGAAATCTGGGATGGAGGTATCTCCAGCAGTTCTTTATTATTCAGGATTGTTTAGGTTTCCTGTTATTTCTTTCTTGTGGTGTGTGTGTGTGTGTGTGTGTGTGTGTGTGTGTGTGTAAATTTAAGATCTTTGTCAATTTCTGAGAAGAATTGTTGGAGATTGCATTAAATCTATAGATTGCTTTTGGTAGGGTGGTCATTTAAGCAACATTAATCCTGGTGATACATAAGCAAGAGTTGTCTTTCCATCTTCAGGTGTCTTTTTCAGTTTCTTTCTTCAGTGTCTTAAAGTTTTTATTATATAAGTCTTTCATTTGCTTGGTGGATTTTTTCCAAAGATTTTTTTTTGAGGCTAATTTGAAGGACACAGTTTTTCTGATTTCTTTCTCAGTATGTTTGTCATTCGTATATAAGAAAACGATGGATTTTTGTGTGTAGTCTTTTAATCTCATTTTTTTGATTGAAAAAAAGTTATTTTCATGCAATATATTCTGATCACAGTTTCCTCTCCCTCATCTGGATCTTCCCCACCCTTCCAAATCCACACCTTCTTTCTCTCTCTCTTTAGAAAACAGGCAAATAAATAGACAAACAAAGTTAAAAGAAAATGAACAAACAAAAAGATGCTAAAAAAGCATGAGAAACACACACACACACACACACACACACACACACACACTTACAACTCCAATTTGCAAACCATAATACACAAGCAAAAAAACAGTAAAGTTAAAAAAAAAAAAGCCCAGAGAAAGCAATATGAGACAAAAAACCTTTCCAAAAATACCTTTGATGATTTTCAACTACATGAAAATAAGTCACTTGGTTAACTCTTAAAGAATAAGGTTGCTCAGTGCCTACACCTGACCTATTAAATCAGAATTGAAGTCACACTGGTAAGTGCCTATATATCTGCGGCTGTTACAGCTCTGTGAGATAGTGTCCATTTGAGCAGTCTCTGCTATCTTCACTGTGTTGTATAAGGGTTTAACTTTAAGTCTGTCTTGCCTTATATTAAAATTGCAAGAATATTTTTTTAAGTTTTCCATATTTCTGATATGTTTTCAATCTTTGGCTTGTATTTTCTATTTCTTGTCTTGATAATATCTTCTTGTAAATGAAACATTGTAACTTTTCAAATAAATATAGGAATGTCAAAACAAAACAAAACAAAACAAAAATACCTTTGAGTGTCAGGTATGGGGTCCATCTCATTCACTGGGTCTTAAATACAATCAGTGGTTGTTTCCTCTCACAACACGTGTGCCATGATTACACCAGTGTGTCATGCAGGCAGGTCACTATTGTAGATCCAAGGGTTGGTAGCAGGGTTATTGTTTACTGGTCTCCTCTGGTAGTATTCAGAGTACCTTCTAGCATCATGAACACCAGTCAGTGGGGGTGAAGGGTCTACACTGGCACCAGCTCAACTTCTTTGTGTTCACTGAGACATTTAGGTGTTGTCTTAAGCAATAGGGCCTTACCATCAAGCTTGTGGAGAGCAATCCATAGCCTTGTCAACAACTGGAGTTGTTTGGGGGCCCCTTGACCAACAACTTGGATAAGATGTAACCCATTCCTGGGACTGGAGGTTTCACTTGGTGGCAAGACATGTCTAGTTGGGGCTTTGTATCCGACATTGTTTAGTGATTCCATTTAGATTTATTTCATATATACATGTATTTGAAGAAACTCCTATTGTAGTAGGTTTCCATACAACCCCTCAAATGGCCCTTAGTGTTAGCTGTCCTTCCTCATATTACCTCACTTGCTTCTTCACTCTTGCATCCCCTCTTCCATTTAACCCTTGTCTTAGTTACTGTTGCTATTGTTGTGAAGAGACACCTCAGCCACCACAACTCTTATAAAGGGAAACATTTAACTGAGGCTGGCTTACAGTTTAGAGGTTTAGTTCCGTTATCACCATGGTGGGAAACATAGCAACATGCAGGCGTACATGGTGCTGGAGAAGGAGCTGAGAGTTCTATATCATGATCCATAGGTAGCAGAACGTGAACTGACTTGAGCTTCAGAGAACTCAAAGTCCGCCCACTAGTGACACACTTCCTCCAACAAGCCACACCTACTCCAACAAGGCCACACTTCCTAATGGTGCTATTCCCTATGGGCCTATGGGAACCATTTTCTTTCAAATCACCACAATCCTCCTGTTCCAGTCTTCCCATTTCTCTCTAACTATATATTCTATTTCCCTTTCCTTAGGAGATCATTCCCTCCCTGCGTTGTTCCTTACTCTATAACTAACCTCTGTGGTTATTTAGATACTAGCATTCTTACTGAAGACTTACAAGATAACACCTGCATATGAGAGAAGACACATTTGTCATTCTGAGTCTGGGTTATCTCACTCAGGGTTTTTTTTGTTGTTGTTTCTTTTTTTTTTTTTTTTTTCTTTCCTAGCTCCATCTGCTTACCTGCAAATTTCATGAATTCGGTTGATAGTAACACTCCACTGCATAAACATACCACATTCTCCTGATAGACCCATCTGTTCATGGACATATAGGCTGTTTATATTTTCTAGCTATTAGGAATAGAGCAGCCATAAACATCCCTGAGCAAATGCCACTGTAATATGATGTAGAGTCTTTTGGTTATATGCCCAAGAGTGATATAGCTGGAACTTCAAGTAAGTATGTTCCCAGCTTCCTGAGGAACTGCCACACTGATTTCCATAGTGTATGTACAAATTTGCACTCCCACCAGCAATGGATCCTTGCCAGCATGAGTTGTCTTCTGTTTTGACTTTGGCTGTTATGACTGGTATAAGATGAAATCTCAAAGTAGCTTTGATTTGCATTTTCCTGATGATCAAGGGTGTTGAACATTTCTTTTAAGTTCTCCTTAGCCCTTTGTGTTTCATCTTTTGAGAGCTCTGTTTAGAACTGTACCCTATTCTTAAATTGGGTTATGTGTTTTCTTAATGTCTAGTGTTTTTTTGGAGTTCTTTATATGTTTTAGATACCAGCCCTATATTGGATGTGCAGTTGTTAAAATTCTTTTCCATTCTGTCACCTGCCACTTTGTCCAAATGATGGTGTCCTTTGCCATACAGAAGTTTTTCAGTTCCATGAGGTCCAATTTATTAATTGTTCTTAACACCAAAAAGTTTTTTTCCTTGCCAATGAGTTCAAGACTATTCCCTGCTTTCTCTTCTGTCAAATTCAGCGTACCTGGCATTATGTTGAGGTCTTTGGTCTATTTGGAGTTGGGTTTTGTGTGTAGGATAAATATGGCTCTGTTTGAATTCTTACACATGCAGCCATCCAGTTTGATCATGTGTTTGAAGATGTCTTTTTTTTTTTTCTTCCCAGTTTTATCCCTGTTCTCTTCAGGTCATTTTACCATGAAGGGATGTTGATTTTGTCCAAGGTCTTTCTGCATCTAATGAGATGATCATGTGGTTTTTGTCTTTCAGTCTGTCTTTGTAGTGCATTGATTTTATTGATTTATGTATGTTGAACAATTCCTGCATCTCTGGGATGAAGCCAACTTGATCAAGGCAAATATATTTTTTTGATGTGTTCTTGAATTCTGCTTACAAGTATTTTATTGGGAAATTTTGCATCTATGTTAATATATGGTATTGGTATATGAGTTTCTTTTCTGTTGAGCCTCTGTGTGGTTTAGGTATGAGGGTAATAGTAGCTCAAGAAAAAGAATTAGGAGATATTTCTTCAGTTTCTATTTTGCAGAATACTTTGAGGAATGTTGGTGTTAGCTCCTCTTTGAAGGTCTGATAGAGAAATCTGTGCTGAATCCATCTGGTCCAGTGCTTTTTTGGTTGGAAGATTTTTAATTAATGATGCTATTTTACTAGGGGTTTGGTATTTGCTTACATTGCTTATTTCATCTTGACTTAACCTTGCTAGGTTGTATATATCAAAGAATGCATCCATTTTTTCAAGTTTTCCAATTTGATGGAATATATATATTTAAAATATGTCCTTATGATGCTTTGAATTTCCTTGGTGTCTGTTATAATGTTTCCATTTTTATCTTTGGTTTTTTATTAATTTGGATAATCTTTCTCCATGTTTTTGTTAATTTGGATAAAGGTTTGTCAATGTTGTTGATTTTTACAAAGAACCAACATTTGGTTTCCTTATTCTTTATTTTTGGTGTAGGCAGTTATCACTATAAACTTGCCTCTTAGAACTGCCTTCATTATATCCCAAGATTGTAGAATTTTGTGTTTTCATTTTATTTTAATTTTCTTCTTGATAACTGTCTTGACGTAATTTCATCCAGTAGTGAGTTGTTCAGTTTCCATGAGTTTGTATATTTTCTGCTATTTTTTGTTTTTGATATCTAACTTTAATTCATGACTGTCATATAGGATATAGGGTGTTATTTTAATTTATATTTATCTTTTCTTACTTTCTTTTTGACCTAATACGCAGTCATTTTTGGAAAATGGTCCATGGGCTGCGGAGAAGCAAGTATATTCTTTAGTGTTTATACATGGATTTTTCTATAGATGTCTGCTAGGTCCATTGGCTCATGGCATCATTGATTTCTAGCATTTCTCTCTTTATTGTCTCAATGACCTTTATCTTATAAGAGAGGAATACTGAAGATTCCTACTTTCAATATTTAAGGGTCAGTATGTGATCTTAGCTGTCAGTAGGATTTCTTTTTATGAAATTAGATGCCCTGCTGTTTGGTGTATAAATGATTAGAAATAATATCCTCTTGGGTAGATCTTTCCTTTAATAAGCATGTAGTGTCCTTCCCTATCTCTTATGGTTAATTTTGGTTTGAAGTCTATTCTGTCAGATATTAAAATAGCTATAACAGCTTACTCCTTGGTTCCATTACATAGAGTATTTTTTCCCCATCCCTCTGGCACCTATTTCTAAAGCTGACTGTCTTGTAGACAAGAGATAGATGGGTTTGTATCTTAATCCATTCACCTAGTCTATGTTTTTTGATTAGCAATTTGAAGCTGTTAATATTTATGGTGATTATTGAAATGTGTTTATAGATTGCAGTCATTTTTGATTTTTCAGATTTTTGTTCTTAGTTGTGCTTTGTATTTCATTAAATTATTAAATTATAGCTTTGTTTTCTTTCTAGAGTCTCTTGGGTATTCTCTTGGGCCTCTCCTCCTTCCTTCCTTTCTTTTTTTTTAAAAGCTTTATTTATTGTGTATACAGTGTTCTGCCTTCGTGTATGCATACACACCAGAAGAGGGCACCAGATCTCATTATATATGGTGTGAACCACCATGTGGTTGCTGGGAATTAAACTCAGGACCTCTGGAGGAGCAGTCAGTGCTCTTAACCTCTGAGCCATCTCTCCAGCCCCATCCTATTCTTCTTTTCATGTATGGTGTTCAGTATTCTGTTCTTTGTTATGCATTTTAAGGCTGTTTTGTACCCTTAAAGTCTTTTTTCCTCTTTTAACTACTACAGATGTTTTCTCTGGGTATAGTAGTCTAGATTGTCAGTCATGTTCTTTTGGAACTTGGAATGCATTACTCCAGACTCTTCTGGCTTTCAGTTTTCATTGAGAAATATTCTGATAGGTTTTCCCCCTTTGAATCTGACTTACACCTTTTTTCTTGCACTTTTAGTTTTTCTTTGTTCTAGATATTTAGTGTTTTAATTATGCTATGCTGTGGGTTTTTTTTTTTTTCCTGGTCTTGTCTAGTTGGGGTTCTGTGTGCTTCTATGGGTATGACTTTCCTTAGTGTGTGAATTTTTCTTGTATGATCTGATTAATGATCTCATCCTTGCCACTGACCATTCTTCTCCCTCACCCAAGCTTGTAATTTGAAGGTTTGGTCTTTTTATAGGGTCTGAAAGTACTGGCTGTTCCTTTTCTGTGTGTGTTTAATCTTTTCATGCTCATTATTTTGTCTAGATCCTCTACTTTGATTTATGAAACTCTGTCTTCTGCTCGATTCATTCATTCATTCCCTGAGTTTTCTAATTGAGATATTGTTTTTCAATTGCTCTTCATTTCAGCCTGTGTTCTCTACAATGTTTCCATCTCTTTATTGAATTCAGTGTTCGAATTCAATTATTTCATTCAGCTCTGTATTTGTATTTTCTTGGGCATCACTCAAGGGTTTCTTGTTATCCTCTTGGAGTTCAGTGAAGTGATTGTTCATGCCTACTTTCCATTCCTTAAGTTATTTTATAAAGTCTATGATTGTTCTTTCTGAGTACTGTGGTTCATCCAGGTATTTCTTCTTATAGATACCACTTCTAAGGACTACTGGGTATTTTGGGAGTTGTTTAGGCCGTTGGTGTTATTTTTGTGGTCTGACCTGGACTTCTTTCTTCGGTTGTTTTTCTCATGTGATAGGAATGCTTTCCTTAGATTGGTCCAGCATAGGAGCCTCATGTAAAGCTGGTGGATAAGGCAAAATCTGCTATGAACCAGGCAAAATCTGCTCTGAAACCACAGGTCTGGAAGTAGGCTTGTGAGTGCTGAGATGACCACAGGGAGAGGGAAGGATGGGAGAAGGAAGGGGAGGTATCTCACTCTTGAAAGGTGGCTTTTGAATAAAGCAGGTTAAAAGGTCACCTAACTGGACCTAGGCCTATGGTTGTGAAGATGGCCACATGCAAGGGGGAAACAGAGGAGATGGAGGGGGGGATGGGAAAGGAAAGAAGCCTGGCAAAGGTGGATCACATACAAAGAGGGTTCATATCCCATGGGTCTGGAACTAGCTTTATAGAGTTGCAGAAGGTTGGGGAAGGGCTATCTTGTCTTTTTAAGACATCACAGACTTCTCAGGAAAGTACCTCCAAAGCTCTTGAGCCACTTCTTTGATTTTCTTCTGTAGTGATTTGTGGTTCTTTTTTTCATGTTATATCCAAATGCTGGAAAAGGTTATTTCCTGTATTTTTCTATGGCTTCTAGTTAGATTGGAAGGGAAAGTAGAATATCAGTTATTCTATTAAGATCCCATTAAGCATTGTGTTTATAGATGATAACATCTGTACATGCCCCTATTGTTAATATCTTCCTAGGTTACATAGCTCTATTACTATGCAACATATCAGTCACTGTCATGTATTTTCCTTTGCAGCAATGTGGGCCTGATAGCTGTTGTGAACCTACGACTTGTGTTCTGAAAGACAAAAAGGATTGTGACAGCCTGTCTCCCTCACAATCCTGCTGCCATTCTTGTTCGGTAAGATTTAAGTTTAGTAACACTATGTAAGCATGTACTGAATTATACAGAAGATGTATGGACTTGTGACTACAGTTTTATGTGAAAACAAATTACTTTTTAAGGGAAAAAGATAGTAAATCAAGGACTCAATTTCTTCAATGTTGCAGTCTCCACTAACATCACTATTTTTATTAACTTGGAGCTGTCTCCCCCCCCCCCCAACACCTTTTTGTGTGTGGCAGAGTTTCTCTGTTTGTCTCATGCTGCTTGATCTCATTTTGTGACCCTGGTTGTCCTTGAATTTACAGTCCTCCTTTCTCAGTTTCCCAAGAACCTGGGATTACAAGATTGTACCACTAGGTCCAGCTAACATTTCCTAAATAGAATTATCTGTTTTTTGAAAATTGAAGTGCGGACTTCTTACTCACAGGCATTTTTATTACCAAGCGATCCCATGTTGATTGCTGATCGATTTCCCCTTTTCAGGTCTTGCCATGTGTTTTGTAGTAAGTTTCCCATGTGAGATTACTGTGATTGCTCTGCCATTCATGCTATCTTTTTCATTGTTCTCAATGGACACAGTTACAGTTTTTTTTTTTTCTAGAAGCTCATAGCATGGCTATATTTTATCTTCTGTGGTCTTTTTTTGTGACAAATGATAATGACTAAGAAGTATGAGATAGATGTTCCTTTAAGATTTTTATTTAAGCTTTCAGAATTCTCTGTATGAAACAGTATAACATAACAGAAAGGTTATACTTGGATTCCTTTCTCAAAAATTCCTATGGTTTCTGCCGGGTGTTGGTGGCACACACCTTTAATCCCAGCACTTGGGAGGCAGAGGCACGAGGATCTCTGTGAGTTCGAGGCCAGCCTGGTCTCCAGAGCAAGTGTCAGGATAGGTTCCAAAGCTACACAGAGAAACCCTGTCTCGGAAAAAAAAAATTCCCATGGTTTCAGTGCTTCTTGAATCATCATCCACCTGCCCCCTTCATTCCTCTCAGTTATTTATTTTAATTTGTAGCAGAATTGATAAATATCCAACAATTTCAAACAGTGTTATAAGCATTTCTATGTTTTGACTAAAATATTTTCACTCTACCAGACTAGTTTCCAAAACTAACAGTGGTCCTTGTTCCCTGGAGTGAAAACACACACACACACACACACACACACACACACACACACACACACACACACACTCATTCACAAGGGCACATACACATGTGTGTGTGTGTGTGTGTGTGTGTGTGTGTGAGTGTGTGTGTGTACACTGGCCTATGCAGGTGACATGGCCTATATGAGAAACAGATGTTGACACTGGTCTTGTTTTCCTCTATTGCCTCTCTACCTTATTTCTTTGGTCTGTGTCTGTTTCTCCATGTGAAACTTGCTATTTCAGCTAGACTGATTGGTGCATGAACCTTGGAATTTTCTTGTCTGACCCCTTCCCCTGCACTAGGGTTACTGGTGCACACAGGCATGCCCATCTTTTATGTGAGTTCTGGGAATATGAACTCTCAGGCTTTACAGTAAGCACTTTTCCCACTGAGTCATCCCCTGACTCTAAATCACATTTTTGTTATATCATTCTTTATATATCTATGCTTTATCTCTTGTTTTCATGCAAAAAATTCAATTTATTTTTAAGTGAATAGCACAGTAACATATACTAAGAGATTAAAATACATGAAGGAATCAAAGGAACACATCATCAATACTCTTTCAAAATACTTGTGAACACAGTATTGTTATATATCATTTTTTTTCCTGTTAGTTTTTACCAGCAAACCATAAATGTAGACCCTCAAAACATCCAATCTGTGATGTCCCTGAAGTCTGCAATGGGAGCTCAGGATTTTGTCCACCTGATGTGAAAATACATGATGGGCGCACCTGCAGAGATGGTGGGTTTATCTGTTATAATGGAGACTGTCCTGACATGAATAAGCGCTGTGAAGCAATATATGGACAAGGTAAATTTTTTGTTACATTTAAATCAGTAACTCTATTTCTTTTCATACTGCCAGAAAACAGGAATCATTCTATGTATTTCAATTTTTATTTAATACTTATATGGTTTTAAAAGTATTTTTTACTGAAGTGTAAATGTCACCTTGATAATTTGATATCTGTATATATGATTATATATTTGCAATAGTACTCCATTGTGTAAATGTACCACATTTTCTCTATCCATTCTACCATTGAGGGGCTTCTAGTCTGCTTCCAGTTTCTGGCTATTACAAATAATGCTGCTATGAACATGGTTGAACAGATGTCCTTGTTGTATAAATGTGCTTCTTTTGGGTATATGCCTAAGAGTGGAATTGCTGGATCTTTTTTATTTATTTATTTATTTATTTATTTATTTATTTATTTTTGGTTTTTCGAGACAGGGTTTCTCTGTGGCTTTAGAGGCTGTCCTGGAACTAGCTCTTGTAGACCAGGCTGGTCTTGAACTCACATAGATCTGCCTGTCTCTGCCTCCCAAGTGCTGGGATTAAAGGCGTGGGTCACCACCGCCCTGCAGAATTGCTGGATCTTGTGGTAGACTGATTCCCATTTTCTTGATGAGTCACCATACTGATTTCCAAAGTGGCTGTACAAGAGTTGGCACTCCCACCAGCAGTGGAGAAGTGTTCCCCTTTCTCCACATCCTGTCCA